ACTAGTGAAGATATGGAAAATATTTCACTGTGTATTTTTCAGTATCTCACTCTATACTATATAATAAATATCTCTATATCTCAGGGTTTGCCGTAAATGTCAATCTTATAAGGTCTCTAAACGTGATCGATCCTTTTCTTACTGCGTGATTTCTCATGGTATAGTCAAATCTTTTTACATGAACGTGACAGTCCTTAATTTTAGCAAACAATGTTTGGCAAGTAAGTTCCGTATGTCATCCCCAATGAATGTATATATATATATATATATATATATATATATATATATATATATATATATATATATATATATATATATATATATATATATCTCCGAAATATATATCTCCGAAATATATAGAATGCACATATCTATCTGTATATATATTTTTACAATATTTATAAGAAAATCTTGATCTAACCTCGCAAGCCTGCAGCCCGCTTTGCAAGTCCTGGCATGCGAGGTTGATCTTGCATGATTGTTTAAAATTTTGTTCTCTAATTTCTGTCGCGGTTTGCAGTTATATATGTACGCCGGATACCGTACAAATTATCTAATAAGCACCCACTCTCTAATAAACGCCTCGTATCTAATATACGACGTCCTATTCAACCCTCGATCCTTATCTAACAAAGCCTTCCCCTCCCTCCTTATACAAGAGTTACAAGGGCATTTACTAAATTTAAAATAAACAATTGTAAACACTACTTGTCTTGTTATCACTTCATGAATATATAGTGAAAACAGTTGAGAATTTTGACTTTTGTTCACACTGCAAACCGTGGGAAAGTGTTTCTTTGTATTAGAATATAATATTATTTAATTAAACACTCCTAAACACCCCCATAAAATTAGAAAATTTAGTAAACATACAGGCCATGTTCGATCATTTACGCAACTCTAATTCAATACGGTATTTCTACACAATAAAAAAGGCAGGCACTTCTGCTCCTCCGAGTAATTCAGACTGAGTATAAACACTCCTAAATACCCCCATAAAATTAGAAAATTTAGTAAACATACGGGGCACGTTCGATCATTTACGCAACTCTAATTCAATACTGTATTTCTACACAATCAAAAAGGCATGCACTTCTGCTCCTCCGAGTAATTCAGTCCGAGTGTATTATTAAAGTGGAAGTCAAGTCCGTTCGGCGCATCGGTTCTGCTCATAACAATGTGAGGACCCTCTAATGTGAACATTACCCAAATTTCGAATGTTTCGAATTTTTCTAAACATAAACTCTATTTCATATTCATTTAGAAGCATAGCAAACCAAAATGGTGTTAGATATTCAGACAGTAGATCATATTTTAAAAAAATACAGCAGTTCAAAATGTAAACAAACCGTTTGTTTACAATACGGACTTGACTTCCACTTTAAACGTTAATGAGAAGTATTTTATATCTACATTGCACTATGCAGGAGTGCATGCATGAGTGTGATCTTATATCTACATTGAGTGCATGCATAAGCGTGAGCTTCAAACACTTTGATATGTATTTGTTCCGCTAATCCAAATACACCATGCATACCGCGATTATTCTAGCTCTTTTTACCCAATGACCTCGTTTCCACGTTTCCAACTTATTTTAGCATGTCAGGGGTATAGATAAAAATTATATTCCCATGTTTTCCTGGACGAATTTGTTTCTTACTGTTCATAGGCTCAATAACAAAGTAATTTTCAACCCTACTTAGCACAAAACATGAGTTTCGAAAAGTGAATTTCGAATAATAAAACAAAGTAACTGAGTGTTTTATTATGTTACATCGTGGTTACATTCATTTTAACTGACTCCAGTCATTAAGACGTTAGAACACAGAGCTAGCTACTATTACTTATGAGATGAAGATATGAAATAACCGAATATTATTTCAAATGTTTTTAATTCAGTTAAACGTATTAATAGCTATAAACCGCGACTGAGGCGCGTATGTATATATCAGACGGCCAAGGTTTGCAAGCCTAAAAAATAGCCCAGCTATATAATGATAAAAACACAGAATTAAAAGTACAAAGTCAACGCAACTGTTGTTGGGTGACAGGACGGCGCTGCAAAAGAGACGGATAGAATTGACAAGAGCAGCTTAATCCGACAATTACAATGGGGTTGTGTGCGTCTTTGCGCAGATCTATTTACAATATTTGAAGTACGTTAATCAATAAAACGTGACTTATTATGGTCATAGTTATATTAACTATGTTATGGTGTACTTCTTGAAACTCGGCATTCACACTCCATCTGCACGTTCACACTAGTTACCAATGCTTAACTTCAAAATATATTCACACAACTAGTAAAGTTAATTTTAAAAGATAAGTATCGTTAGTTTAGTAAAGTATATATATACAGGTCTCATCAATATATATCCCTATACTGTATATCACGAGTTTAAAATTGTGGCCAATATTATAATAAGGTAATTAGCACTAAGCATGCATGTTAATGTCAATTTTCCTGTAGAAAACATGAAAGTAAACACCTGCATGTTTTTAACTTATACAGGAAAACTTACATGATGCAATAAAAAATGTTATTGACACAAGAATTTAGTAAGTGAGGACCTCTATTTTCGTATATGAAGCGTGATGCGGAAATTCTTGAAACTCTTATTGAGATTGCCGAGAGACCTTTAAGATTGACAACTATTGACGTTTACGGCAGACTGCTAACCGTTTGTGCCGTAAATGTCAATCTTAAGGTCTCTAAACGTGATCGATAATTTTCTTAATGCGTAATTTCTGATGGTATAGTCAAATCTTTTTACATGAACGTGACAGACCTGAATTTTAGCAAACAATTTTTGGCAAGTAATTTCTGTGTCATCCCCAATGAATATATCAACCAGTACCCCGAAAGTGATAAGTAATAAAGGCAAATCCGAAATAGAATGCACATATCTATCTGTATATAATTTTGTTGTTTTGGTTAGAATTTTTCTTTGATTTTGTATGACAGTTTATCGGTAGTTCTGTCTCCAGTTTTCTTAGTGAGAGTCTAGTTTTTTCTTGTCAACTATTTGTTCTCTAAAATACACTACCGTAGCAAGGGAGCAGGCCAGAACTATTTGTGTAAATTTATACTAACCTTTTAAGTTTTAATTACATGAAAGCGGTATATATGATTAGCTTATCGCAGGCGCGATAATTTATGTTCATCTTTGACAGAGGGTCTTAGAGTGTCAGTTGTCAGCTAAAATTTAAGCCAATTGTCAGTTGTCAGTGCGATATATTGCAAGCTGTCAGTAGTCAGTTACTGCAAAATGCTGACTTATAATTTTTTTCATCATTTCTCAGTAGTCAGTTAGGATATTTTGTCAGTTGTCAGTCAAAAATTCAGGCAAATGTCAGTAGTCAGTTAACCCCATTCAGACCCTCTTGACATTAATTTATGTTACACGATGATACTCCGAAGGGCGACCGAAAAAGATCCGAAATTTAAAATACGGCGGAGAAAAAATAAAAAATAAAGAGGGGAGTGAAACGGCCGAACACGTGATGGGGTATTGGCCAATGAAAATGCGTATATCCAATTTCGTTATCTGTCCATGCTCGTTGACCAAGAACTGTCAAACTTGAATTGATTTGCATCGTTGCTCGCCAGCAGTGAATTTTCGACAGCAGAGAAACAAAAACATTTGCGAATGCTGGACGCAACTGATACAGTATTAATAATTCATGAAGAAAATTCAAAAGAAAGGAACGTTTAATCAAAGTTTGTAAATCGATCGGATAAAAGATTTGTAAATTGTCCTCATTTACATAAACTTCAGCTTCGATTTTCTCGGCTTAGACAATGTTTATTTTTAAAATTACTTCGCCAATAAACTCGTATTATGGGTCGTCTTTTAAGCACGTTAAAACATGAGCAGCCGATGTTTATCTGATATGCAAACTCTCGCCATTGTCCCCAATTTTAATAACATATTCTATTGTGACTCGCTTGAACTAATTATAGTAGGTCAAATATAAAACAACGGTAACTCTAGCCTGCTCACGGTAACTCCGAAAATAATAAAAAAAATTTATTTTCGGAGTTACCGTTGTTTTATATTATATTAAAATACTCAGTGGTTCCCGTAATAGTAGGTCTCATTTTGTTTCCGGTTTGTTCCTAGCAACATCAAATTAATGTTCCTAGCAACAGTCAACCAGCATCAGTGGATAATAGTTCGGCCGTTTCACTCCCCTCTTTATTTTTTATTTGTTCTCCGCCGTATTTTAAATTTCGGATCTTTCTCGGTCACCCTTCGGAGTATCATCGTGTAACATAAATTAATGTCAAAGATGAACATAAATTATCGCGCCTGCGATAAGCTAATAATATATACCGCTTTCAACATTCAAAATGGCGCTAGTAGACTTGTATAGGACTTTGTATGCGTTTCATTTACCACAGGTAATCTGAACTGTTTTAGGGTAAAATGACCATGGCCCGGTCAACATGGCATATGTGCCAAAACCTGAATCTGGGACGAAAGTCCTGAAAATGACCCGCCCTGAAACGGCAGTGCGGACATAGCTCTAACTTCCGAAAAGCAAAAGCCTTTCTGAAGTGCTTATAGTGTTTAGAAGGGTTGCATTTAGGGGTGGTTATTGGAAGGAAAAATTTGTGTAAGTATAATATTTTACAAGAAAATGACCATTCATCACCCCAGGTAAATTGCTAATTATGCATAAAATAACTAATATGCATGCAGAAATTAAATATCCTTATTTCCTAAAAACATTTATCATGGGATGAAAAACTATGCTTAATTTAATATAATTATTGTAGTTTTCATAAGGATAGTCATTGTTTTCTATAATTATAATATATTTTATTTCACTTACCGTCCTTACCCCCCACGAAAACACTATTTCAGCCATATTTTGCCGTCTTGTTTGCTTTATATCGCCGTGTCTCTTAAATAACATCCAATTTGTTGTACTTTTACATAATGGCAAATGGTTAAAGAAGATTTCAACCAAGTTTCGGCTATTTTTGAAGCAGTGCAGTGTATTTTATCTTCATTATTGTGTCCTTCGATATTTCGTCTAATATGCCGCCATTTTAATGGCTCGCCGATTCTCTGCCCGATAAATGCCACTTCTTCGTCTTCATATGTATTTAGATTACAGTATCCAAGAGTACTTCATTGTAGAATAGTCCTAAACGAAAAATTGAAAAGATTATACTTGCACTTGGAAGGAAAAAACCTCCCATAACAAATTCAGGATAGGAATAAAAACAAATCATTTGAAAGTCACGCGCAATCTTCGCGAAAATTCCTCGTGGATACTTGACAGGGGGGGTCGAATATTTTCACGAAACGTTTGTTCGCCACCACAGCAATTCAAGTTTCAACTAAATATATTGTATTTATTGTATTTTATGATTTAAAGATAAAAACAATAAATATTTACGTATTTTTATTATCAATCATAAAAATACAATTAATATAATATATCCAGTTAGGTCGCTGTTGGCGAACAACTTTTCGTGAAAATATTCGCCCCCCCCCTGTCAAGTATCCACGAGGTATTTTCGCGAAGATTGCGCGTGACTTACAAATGATTTGTTTTTATTCCTATCCTGAATTTGTTATGGGAGGTTTTTTCATTCCAAGTGCAAGTAATCTTTTCAATTTTTCGTTTAGGACTATTCTACAATGAAGTACTCTTGGATACTGTAATCTAAATACATATGAAGACGAAGAAGTGGCATTTATCGGGCAGAGAATCGGCGAGCCATTAAAATGGCGGCATATTAGACGAAATATTGAAGGACACAATATCGAAGATTAAATACACTGCACTGCTTCAAAAATAGCCGAAACTTGGTTGAAATCTTCTTTAACCATTTGCCATGCATTATGTAAAAGTACAACAACTGGATGTTATTTGCGAGACACGGCGACTAAAGCAAACAAGACGGCAAAATATGGCTGAAATCGTGTTTTCGTGGGGGTAAGTGAAATAAAATATATTATAATTATAGAAAACAATAACTATCCTTATGAAAACCACAATAATTATATTAAATTAAGCATAGTTTTTCATCCCATGATAATTTTTTTTAGGAAATAAGGATATTTAATTTCTGCCATGTATATTAGTTATTTTATGCATAATTAGCAATTTACCTGAGGTGACGAATAGTCATTTTCTTGTAAAATATTATACTTACTAACTTACACAAATTTTTCCTTCCAATAACCACCCATAAAAGCAACCCTTCTAAACACTATAAGCACTTCAGAAAGGCTGCTTTTGCTTTTCGGAAGTTAGAGCTATGTCGGCACTGCCGTTTCAGGGCGGGGTCATTTTCAGGACTTTCGTCCCGGATTCAGGTTTTGGCACATATGCCATGTTGATCGCCATGGTCATTTTACCCTAAAACAGTTGAGACTTGAGATTACCTGTGGTGAATGAAACGCATACAAAGTCCTATACAGGTCCTAGACTACGCCCGATGAAAACATTTACATGTAATTAAAAGGTTAGTATAAATTTACACAAATAGTTCTGGCGTGCTCCCTTGCCGTAGCCCAAGCTCAAGATATGAGTTCAGGGTGTAATACACTAGTTGACAAGAAAAAAATAGGTACATCTGCGTACACGTATGTGTGAATTCATGATCAACTGTTAACACGTTTGTGTGTTGATTAATGATCGGAGAGGTTCGGATTTGATTACCGCTGGCCCTCCGACGTTTAATTAATGTGCATTTGATAGTATATGATAGTGGAAATCAAAATCTGAACAACTCTCTATATCCTGTGTATGGTATGGTATGGTATGGTAAAACTTCATTTAATGACGCTGGCCCCGAACGCAATTAGCTGATTTCCACGGGGGCGTCAAATATTAACTATTTACAGAAAAGAAATATTTACATTGTAAATATTACTGGTGTGACCACAAATATCATTTAGTTATCATTACCTCTAATAATATTCTTAAATTGGCTAACAGATTCCGCTACCTTTGCATCAAACGGGATGCTATAATTGAAACTCTTTTTAAGGTACTCTCCTTTTGGTTTAGGAAGGGTTAAGTCTGTTAGACTATTTCTAAGATCGTAGTTAGTTTGGCGAGTGTTTCTCAATATTAGAGACTCCTTAAGGTTAGGGTCAATGTAGCCATTCAAGACTTTGTACAACAATGTTGATTTAGTTGTACACCGTCTTGTCTCTAGATCGTCCCAGGCAAGAAGTTTCAAAACTTGCACCGGCTATAATTCTTGCAGCCCGATTTTGGAATCTCTGAAGTTTATCTTTGAGTTGTTTGCTGCAAACTCCCCATAAGGGAGAACAGTAATCAAAATAAGGCTGTATTAACGCTTGGTAAGTTGTTTGTAAGGTGTTGGCAGGGACGAAAGGTTTAATACGCTTCATCATTCCTATACCTGCCGCGACCTTTTTACAAATCACTTCAATATGTCCATTCCATTCAAGAGTTTCGTCCAGTTTCACTCCAAGACAGGTAAATGACCTCTCACGAGAAACCAGCTGGTTATTTATAACTACGGGAAGATCATCATTCATAATTTTGAGGTTATGCCTCGATCCTATATACATTACTTTCGTTTTTGTTGAATGGTGTTGTAATTTACTTCTAACTAACCATTCTCTGAGTTTGTTCATATCATGGTTTATATTTTCAGTAAGTTTTTCTAAGTCTTTCGCTGCCGAAAAAATCTGAGTATCATCTGCATACAAGCAAGGGGTGGTTTTATCAAGACAATCTGGTAAGGGACCCAGAATTGATCCCTGCGGGACACCACAAACGATCTTTTTGGGTGTAGATGTAATTCCATTAACTAAACACACTTGTTCTCTGTTAGTTAAATAGGATGAGAACAAATCTAGTTCAACATTAGTTATTCCAAAGTGCACATTCATTTTATGCAACAAAATGGTATGGTTAATTGAATCAAAGGCTTTCCGGATATCGAGGAAAACGACCACATTCAATTCACCATTGTCCATGTTTTTATATAATGTATCACACATCTGAATAAGTGCGGTAAGGGTCGAGTTCTTTGGCCGAAAGCCTGACTGGTATTTAGAAAGAAGAGAATTATCATTAAGAAATTTATATATCTGATTGAAAACAAATCTCTCAAGTATTTTACTAATGATAGGTAGATTGAGCGATAATTTTCGCATTTTGTCTATTGCCAGATTTATAGATTGGTACTACCCTAGCCTTTTTCCATTCATCAACATAGATTCCCGTTTTAATGGAAAGATTAAATATCCATGTTAATGGTGGTCCAATAATATTTGCAGCTATTTTAAGAGCCTTTGCTGGAATGTTATCGATGCCTGTCGATTTTGATATTTTTAGATTAGCTAACTGATGAATTACGTCATCAGGGTGATTTTCAACAAATCAAAACAGATCGGAAAGGGCGAAAAAGGTTATCAATTAATTCAAATTTTATAGCTTTTAATCTGCATGTTAACTGTTGAAAACACATTGAACTCATACAGTAACTTGGGGTATCCATGAAACACAAGCAGTATTTTACTACATATTGAAGATTGAAGTAAACGAAATAGCAGAAAGCTAGTAGCTTCCCAAACCAAAAAGACAGAGACGGACAAGGCCTTAGTATGTTTAGGTTTTATCAGAGGAGTGGCCACATCAAGAAAAAGAGACATAACTATGAGGTGGGGAACTGGAAAAGACGAAAAGTGGGATCCAGTGTACGAGCTGGTCCTACACGAGTCCTAATTTTTCAGTAATTTGGAAGGATTTGCTTTACAGTAATTTGGAAGTGACTTGGACTGATGTGTAAAATAAGTGAAAATGAAGTGAAAATTTTAAGATATTTTAAACTGCATGATTTACAGCAATCCCAGTAGTAGGTAATCACATGATATAGCGCCTTGGTAAGACTCGGACGTACGTTGGTGATAATGATGGCGTATATCTTTTCCAACCCGACGTCAAGTGTCAATTAATATAGTTTAATAACAAATATGATAAGACCAAACTTACCTCGCAAACATGGCCAAGAACCAAGAACCCTTTCCAAAATAGTCAGTTTCAACCATTGGTTTCAACTTCCTAATAAGTAATATATATAAGACAGTGATATAGCAACGTCGAACAATGATGTGCAAAAAAGGAAAGAGACAGGGATTACAGTTTAGTTTAATGTATGGAGGTTTAATGATAAAGAACTGCTAGGAGAAGTCACAAAGAAAATTTTCAACAATTTTTAACCAAACAAATTTTTAACCAAACAGATGTTGCGCTATTAGACAGGCTGGAAAATAAACCGGCTGTAAAAAACAATATTCAGACTATTTTTTTCAAAATGTGTAACTCTAAACTAAGATAGACTGCTGGTAAGTTAAGATTTGCTATATCTTTAGAATTTTTATAAAATCTCCACAAAATAGAGGAAATGACATTTCACAAACTTCATATTTTCACACTTTCTTCCACGTACCATCGGTAAAAATGATATGAAGTATGAACAGGACCGCCGAGAGACGGGGAACATGAGGGGATTTTCCCCGGACTCCAGTTCAAAAGGAGCCGCCAAAGCAACGAAAGCCCTTAAAATTTCTTGATACGTACAAGTTTGTTGAGAATATAAATCCTAGCTGCATGCGCTAGCGCCGGTCAATATACAATAAAATGTAATAATATTGTAAAACACACTTCTCCCGTTATACAATTATAACGTGAATACATAATACTATCCCCTTATTACGTTTTCGTAGTGTTTTGCATTGTGGTTATAGTGGTATCACTGATATTCAGAATGGCTTATTTTTTGTCCTGACCCCTATATCAAGACAGTGATATAGCAACGTCGAACAATGATGTGCAAAAAAGGAAAGAGACAGGGATTACGCGTTAGTTTAATGTATGGATGTTTAATGATAAAGAACTGCTAGGAGAAGTCAGAAAGAAAATTTTCAACAATTTTTAACCAAACAAATAAATGTTGCGCTATTAGACAGACTGGAAAATCGGCTGTGAAAAACAATATTCAGACTATTTTTTTCAAAATGTGTAACTCTAAACTAAGATAGACTGTTGGTAAATTAAGATTTACTATATCTTTAGAATTTTTATAAAATCTCCACAAAATAGAGGAAATGACATTTCACAAACTTCATATTTTCACACTTTCTTCTTCCACGTACCATCCGTAAAAATGATATGAAGTATGAACAGGACCGCCGAGAGACGTGAGAAGCGTCATGACCCGTAGAGATCGATGTTACCGATGTTTGGGAAGAGCAGTGTTTCTACAACGCATCATTCAAATTTCCTTGATTTTGCTTTAATATTTCCTTGAATTTCCTTGAAATGGGATGTAATTTCCTTGAAATTTCCTTGATTAACCGAAGTATATTTCGGCAACTAGAATTCATCAATACTTATACAAAGTAAGACAGAAACAGAATGGTACATTTATTTTGTACAACTCTTAAAAACAAAGCCTTTACACAACAATTTTGAAAGCTTTAAAATGTAAAATACTAGAGTTTTAATATTGTTCTCAAAAGTCAACAAATTCACATGACAAATAAATTCATATAAATTCGCCTGCACGCAGCACGCTACCTGATTTCCGCCTAAAATTCAGGTTGTGTGAAGCCTACTTATAATTCACTTATTCACCAATAGCGACGCCATCTTGAATCGTGATGCATTATGGGTTATACAGGGTAAAAATCCGAATTCAAAAGCCTTTAATGTCGTATTGAGACACAATACGATATTTTTTTTCATAAACACTTTCTTGAGGCAATGAGGCAGTGTAAATAAATTTTATGCGCACTTTGTTGAAATTATTTCCCTTTTTAGGCCTAACAAAGATTTAAACAATAGATTTTATCCTGATTTTTTTTATTTTTCCCAGCCTGTGTTTCCTAGTTCTTCTAAAAATTGTCTGTTATTTTCAACTATAAAAACGTGTGTTATCGCCTACATATTTGATTTACAGCCCTTCAAAAACACTTAATTACCCTGTATCACCCATAATGCATTGCGTTAAACGCGTAATTCAAGATGGCGTCGCTATTGGTGAATAGGTGAATTAGTTTAATTAATAATTCTAGATTCTAGTAATTCTACTGACTCGGTAACAGGCTCCGAAAGAGGTTTTTTTTATTTTTGCACGCGGACATATTGATTATGAGCGATGGAAAGTAATATAATTTAAAATTAATGAAAGGTTCCTGAAAGAATCTTTAAAATATTTCAGTTGACTCAAAAATTCCTTAAATTTCCTTAGAATTTTCAAAAATTCCTTAGATTTCCTTGATTCCTTTCTTTTCCTTGAAACGTCTTTTTTCAGTCAAAATTTCCTTGAAAAAGGAAATTTCCTTGAAAGTGGAAACACTGGGGAAGAGCACAATGAAGCATACTCTTTATTCAAGCTGGGTTTCATCGTTTCACGACGACGGAGTGAAAGGTCATATGTATGCCCCAGGAGAGCAAGGGCATCCACTTGAAGTGTGAGAACTTCGTTCATGGTGTTGTTTTCGCCGCCTTCATGGCGCCGAATGCCGCCAGTTTGGCGAGCATTCATAAGCAGTTGAGCAGACTGTGTGAGAGCTGTGCCAACTGCCACCAAGGTTTTTTGGATAGCGACAAGTTTAAGGTCTTGTCGTTGGCCCATGTTTGATATTCGGGACCAAATTTCGGGATTTACCTTGGGGGCAAACAATCGTTCGCAGTTCTCTGGTCGGTCATATTTCGCTATTTTCTCTTTGAATTTGTCGTCCGATAATTTTGACGACCATCTCTTATTGACGATATCAGCCAGCTGAGTCGAGACCGGACTACTTGTTTTCGCGTCAGCCGAATACTCAAGGGCTAACGTTGTGAGGAATGCATCTTCCTCGTTGGCTTTAGTTTCAGCTGATTCGGTCTCTTGCTCTGAAGGATGGTCGTCGATCAGGGCATCAACATCACTCCCTTCTTGATCACTCGACCTCCTTTTCTTGCTGCTCAAAGTCAAAGACTCTGCTGACTCACTCCACCGCCCGAGAATCCCGTTTGGCAGTAGCGGTTGGAGTTTGTTTTATTTTTCGGATTTCCTGGCTCATATTTGACATATTGTTCGCCAAAGTAGCCATATGAGCATCGATAGATCGAAGGACATTCTTTATGGTTGGATCATCATCTTCAGTAGTTGCTAAATCGTCCCCTTTGAGCAGTTCGTTTTATATCTCGTCTTTTTCCGCCATTTGTTTGATAAAATTTTTCTACGTGTGTTCTTCGCAACGTTTCGCTTGCAAGTGATCTAGCTTGCTTCGCGCGCATATCTCACGTGACTCCTTAGCGAAAATAACCAATCATGAAGTAGAATTTCTTGATACGTACAATTTTGCTGAGAATATAAATCCTAGCTGCATGCGTTAGCGCCGGTCAATATACAATAAAGTATAATGTACTATTTAAAAAACGAGCAGGAGTGTTTTATTAGGTTTAAAGCCACGAGCGCGCAGCGCGAGTGGCTTTAGACCTAATAAAACATACCTGCGAGTTTTTTAAATGGCTTCAAAAACGTTTGCATAATAAGTCAAATCTTTATATAAAAATCTTTATATAAAAATCTTTATATAGTTTGCATAACAATGGTCTTTTGTTAACGTGTTCTTTAGCTGGTATAAAGACGTATGCACGTGACTAATTTCTTACTCAAGATTGGATAATTGCTTCATGAATTATTAATGAGTTTTTGAAAATATTGTAAAACACGCTTCTCCCGTTATGCAATTATAATGACGTGAATACATAATATACTATGATCCCCTTATTACGTTTTCGTAGTGCTTTGCATTGTGGTTATAGTGGTATCACTGATATTCAGAATGGCTTATTTTTTGTCTTGACCCCTATATCAAGACAGTGATATAGCAACGTCGAACAATGATGTGCAAAAAAGGAAAGAGACAGGGATTACGGGTTAGTTTAATGTATGGAGGTTTAATGATAAAGAACTGCTAGGAGAAGTCAGAAAGAAAATTTTCAACAATTTTTAACCAAATAAATAGATGTTGCGCTATTAGACAGACTGGAAAACCGACTGTGAAAAACAATATTCAGACTATTTTTTTCAAAATGTGTAACTCTAAACTAAGATAGACTGTTGGTGAATTAAGATTTCCTATATCTTTAGAATTTTTATAAAATCTCCACAAAATAGAGGAAATGACATTTCACAAACTTCATATTTTCACACTTTCTTCTTCCACGTACCATCGGTAAAAATGATATGAAGTATGAACAGGACCGCCGAGAGACGGGGAACATGAGGGGATTTTCTCCGGACCCCAGTTCAAAAGGAGCCGCTAAAGCAACGAAAGCCCTTAAAATTTCTTGATACGTACAAGTTTGCAGAGAATATAAATCCTAGCTGCATGCGCTAGCGCCGGTCAATATACAATAAAGTGTAATAATATTGTAAAACACGCTTCTCCCGTTATGCAATTATAACGTGAATACATAATACTATCCCCTTATTACGTTTTCGTAGTGCTTTGCATTGTGGTTATAGGGGTATCACTGATATTCAGAATGGCTTATTTTTTGTCCTGACCCCTAGACAACGCCCTCATCAATTTTCCAAACGCAGGCATCGTCTTGTTAGGGGACTTTAACCAGTTTAAACCTGGATCATTAACTTCATCCTTTAATCTTAAACAAGTTGTGAAAAGACCCACCCGTGGTAACAATATCCTTGACAAGATTTACACTACCCTTTCGAAGCATTACATTGATGCCATTATACTCGCATGCATTGGACAATCTGATCACCAAAGTGTTCTCCTCAACCCGACTAAACAAAGTCCGAAGTCACTCAAGTCTTATAACCCCTCCTACATTACTAAAAGAGACCGTCGACCCGCAAACAAACAAGCCCTAATTACCACCTTATCCCAAATCAACTGGACCCCACTTTACCACGTAACTGCTCTAGATGATCAATTCAACCTATTCTCGAACAAACTATCCTCTGTTATCGATAGTCACCTCCCTCTGCGCACCATAAAGTGTTACCCTAAAGATAAACCATGGATCACTGCAGATATAAAAAAATTCATTTCTAAAAGGCAGAAAGCTTGGTTAACCAGCAACACTATCATGTATAACGTTTATCGTAACAAAGTTAGAAAACTATGTAAATCTGCTCGTCAGTCCTACTACGATAAGAAAATCCTTAATACCAGTGAATCTAACCCAAAAAAATGGTACGATAACATCAAGTCTATTTCTGGTCTATCTAAATCGGAACCTTTTTCGAGCATCTTCCATGATGGTGAGTTCAAAAGAGGTCCTGAGCTTGCTGAACTAATTGCCGAATCTTTCTGTGCTGTTTCAAACGAATTGGCCCCACTCTGCTTCAATAAGCTTCACATTACATCTGTTCCTGATGAGTACATAATATCAACCCAACAAGTTGAAATCGAATTGGAAAAGATCAGTCTTCAGAAAGCAATTGGCCCCGACGACATCCCCAACTGGGTACTGAAATCAGCTGCACCGTTGCTCGCTGGTCCAATATGTTCCATCTTCAATGCCAGCATTGCACAAGGTTGCATCCCGACACTCTGGAAATCAGCAGACGTTATCCCAGCGCCAAAAATATCTAATCCCAAATCAGTTGATAGCGACCTAAGACCTATTTCTCTCACACCGGTGCTGAGTAAATTATTGGAAAGCTTTGTTTTTCGGTGGCTTTTTGGTTATATTAAATCATCAATCGACCCGCTCCAGTTCGGAAATATGAAAAATTGCTCCACCACACACGCTCTTATCCACATGATCCATAACTGGCTAGCCGAATTAGAAAACCCTGGTTCAACTATCAGATGTTGTATGATTAACTTTTCGAAAGCCTTTGATCGCATCGATCACAATATTTTACTTCATAAATTACAACAACTCAACGTCCCTCCAATCTTGTTGAATTGGTGCGCTGAGTTCCTGCATGACCGATATTTACGTGTCAAGCTTGGCCAGAATAAATCAACATGGCGACAAATAAATGCAGGGGTTCCACAAGGTACAAAACTTGGACCCCTCTTCTTCCTTGTGATGATAAATGACTTGCAAACCAACACTCCAATGTACACATATGTCGATGACTGCTCCACATACGAAATCGTTTCAAGATCGCCCCCTACTTCATCGCTTCAAGCTAATATAAACACTATAAATGACTGGACCAATCACAACGACATGCGGCTTAATGTATCTAAAACCAAAGAACTGCGTATATCCTTTCTTAGAGTCCCTATGGTATTCGATGCCCTCTCGTCATCTGGTTTAAACATAGAAATCGTCCAGACCTTCAAACTTCTGGGAGTGATAATATCATCGGATCTTACCTGGAATGCGCACATTGATTACATCTGCACCAAAGCAAGTAAACGTCTTTATGCTCTAAGGATCCTCAAACGATCTGGTGCCCCAGCCAATGATTTAATAACGGTCTTTTGTGCATTTATTCGTCCAGTTTTGGAATACGCCTCACCTGTATGGCATTTTTCTCTCCCTCAATTCCTCGCTGATCAAATCGAGAGTATACAAAAACGTGCATTGAAAATCGCTTTCCCCCCGTCCTCCTATACTACCTCACTAAGAAACACTGGCATTCTTACACTTTACCAGCGAAGAGAGAATCAGTGCTTGTCATTCTATAAGAATGTCCATCAACACTCAGACGATAAGTTGAGAACGCTACTTCCCAGTGCTATATCTCACAAATTCAGTCTAAGAAATAAACGCACTTATCCTATGTATAAGTGCAAAACTGAACGATATAAGAACAGTTTTATTCCAAAGTGTGTTAGAAACTGGGACCGACCATAGACATAACAAAATATTTTATAGTACATATCATTAATATAGTTTATATTATAGTAGTTTTAAATTGAACTTTTTGCAAATTTAAAAATTTTAATACTATCTATGTAATATCACGTTTTTTAAATTTTTATTAATTTACAATGTGGTAATTATTAAAATCAATCAATCAGTCAGAACTTTTAAAAAAAGCTAGGGTCAGGTGCGCGATAGTCAACAGCAAAATATTCGCGAAAACATTCAATGTTTTCATTCGAGGCCGCTATCTTTATCAGTGATACCACTATAACCACAATGCAAAGCGCTACGAAAACGTAATAAGGGGAATTGCGAATTGGGCCCACCTGGAAACGTTTCCCCCCGCGCTCCGCACATCCTCTCGGTGATCCTGTTTACGAACGTCTGAAAATGATATATATTCATTCTCTTAAAGCGTGCACTATTAATTAAAACATTCTTCAAATATAGGGCCTGGATAAAATGCATGACAAATTTCCGCAATAGATGTGATGTACAACGGTACTATATCTTATATTGAAAATATTTTCAGACGTGATGGCAGATATATGCAGTACAAGCACGTTGAATCCAAGACGTAATGAGAAGGTGGAAAGAAAGAAACTGTTTGAAGAAATGTTATTGAAGGAGATACCAGGTACTTTAAAACAATCACCAAAACAATGTATCCATAATAACAGATTAACCGCCATGGATGATTATATTATGCACTAGTCCGCGGCACTGTAAATCCCCCCAACCGGGGAGGGGCGGGGATTTTGACTTAGAGGGATAGTAAAAGAACGAAATTGTCCTCGCCCCCGGGACGGTAATTAATCAATGTCCCCGCATGTCTTTGAACCCCGGGAAAATAGTATTACATATTTCATAGATCCGCAATAGAAAATCAAATTCATTTAATATGTTATTGTATTTATTAAACTTTTCTTGTAAAGAAAACTAAAACAGCAACACAGGATATATATGTTAACCACTGAATCCATTCCCCCGCTTTCGTCCCAGCATCGTCTACCGAAAGAGAAAATGTCGTCCAAGTCCCCCATGATGATGATGATGATGATGATAAACTTTATTTAACCACGCTAACATTGTCAGCAGAAGCTGGTTTCCACAATGGGCGTGTAAAAAACATTAACAAATTGTTACAAGTAAAATAATAAGGAAGTATTAACATGCAGAATATAAAATTATTAAAATATATACAAAAAGTTTGCTATTTACAATGATGTGGTTTTCTTTATAAGCT